GTCAGATTTCCATACTTTCTCTTGGGCATTTTTTCTTCTGTTTGCCCATTTTGACTAATTCTATTGTGTTAGATAATCTTTATCTTAGTATATTTTTATTATTATCCCATAGAAACCTGACTGTTTTCGAATGAGTGATAGAAATGGGGTGGATTCAAATAGGAAGGGATGTGGGGAGGAGCAGAGGGAGGTGGAAACATAATCAGGAGACACTATGTGAAAGAAAATCTATTTTCAGTGAACAGGAAGACAAAGAAAACAAGTGTTGCACTATAGTGCTATGTAAAATTCAACTTAAAACATTCATTTAATTTCAATTTTGTGTCTTTGCTTTTTTAGTGTGTTATCATGTTCACATCTGTATGTAGGTGATTTTGGAAGACAGAAGAGGGTATCAGATCCATCAGAGCTGTTGTGAATAGGAGGCTGTGGACTGTAAGATGTGTGGATAAGTTATTAAACCTACCTCCTCTGAGAAAGCTACACATGATTGTAAATGTTGAGATATGTCTCCATATTTGCCAATATTCTTTCTATCTATTTAACACAACATCGTTCTGTCTTGTAAGTTTTATGCTTCTAACTTCCAGGATGCAACAGGATTCTCTTGTCTTCTTCTGCAAGGGGAAAGTTTGTTTCATCATCTGAAAACAATCATTCACACTACAACAAATTTTCTCTTGTTTTCCTTTACATTCAAAGTCACACATTCACTCAGATATCAAAATAATTACTCAGAGTTTATTTTAAGTTTATTTTTGAATTAGAGAAAGACAATAACATATCCCCTATGTCCTAATATCCAAGAACCAGGTCTTGTATAATAAGAGTCTGAGTGAAAAATTGTAGGCCAGTATGTACAGAAAAGTAGTACACATGGTATTTCTTGACATCATTTTTAGAAGACACAATGAGAATCACTAGCTAATGCATTCTATCAGAGTAGGTGGTTCTGTGTCAACACTACAGTTATCAGTATCAATTTATAAAATGGGTGTTCAAGAAGATGTTTTCTCCCTTATCTTTTCAAGAGAATTTCTCTCTGGTTTAAACAAAATTATGTAGCACTTGGGAATAAAGATACACCCCAGCAGGCCTGCACTGGAGACCAAGATGGAAAAAACCTCCACAACAACCATGACCTTGCCCTTGGTGCTATGGAAGACAGGAAGAAAGGTGACCCAGACACTGCAGAACAACAGCATGCTGAAGGTCAGCAACTTGGCTTCATTGAATTTGTCAGGGAGATTCCTGGCCAAGAAAGCCACAATGAAGCTCCCAAAGGCAAGGGAGCCATGGTATCCCAAGACAAAGTAGAATGCAGTAACTGAGCCCTTGTTGCACACAATGATAACTTGGCCATGCACAGAGTATGCATCAATGTCAATAGAGGGAGGAGAAACTTGCAGCCAAATAGCACAGAGAATAATTTGGATAAGGGTACAAATGACTATGATGTAGTTGGGTGCCCCTGAGACCAGAAAGTATCTCATTCTTCCAGGGGCTGTGAATATGAAGGCCAGCAGGACAGTCACTGTTTTGGCCAACACAGTGGAAACAGCCACAGTGAATACAAATCCAAATGTGATTTGCTGCAGGACACAGGTAGCTGAGTTGGGTTGGCCAATGAAGAGCAAGGCGCACAAGAAACAAAACATGAGTGAGATGAGCAATATGTAACTAAGATTCCGGTTATTGGCCTTCACAAGGGGAGTGTCATGGTGCTTGACAAAGATCCCAAAAATCAGAACTGTGAATACAAAGAACCACAATGCCATTAAGGCAAGAGCCATCCCCAAGGGATCTTCGTAGTTCAGAAAGATCACTGTTTTGGGAATGCACTGGTCCTGCTCTCTGTTGCTATACTGGTCCTCTGGACACCGCACACATTTATCCACATCTGACGGAGAGAGAAATGTATGATTACTTAATGACAGGACATTTCAATTAAGTGTGTTGAAGAAGCATTGCAATATCTGTATTTGTTTCTGAGGATGTAGCTGATGGACATTGCTGCATAGTAATGCTTCCATTTCAAAATACTCATTCATTGCCTTTATGAGGAATGAAGTAAAAAAATCCTTATGTTTTCTATTTAACTGTATTGATGTTGCCATTCACTATATTATTAGAAATCACAGGTATTTTAAGTACATTCTGAATACTATGATGAAAGGACTCAAACTGCTGAATTGATGGAGGGAAAAAATCATTAACCATTATTTTGCACAGTTTATTTTACAGTATCAGATCCCATGGTTGTAGTGCATCCTGATGTCTTTCTGTCTGTTTTATGACCACTGTTCCTGTAATTGATGGATACTGTTTTCTATTTGGATAAGTCCTGTCATGTGCTGCCTACTTTCAAGTGACCAGCCCAAATCAATTGATATAGAAGAAATACTAAATGGAATCAGTAGGGACCCTTGGAGTCTGTACATTACTTGTCCAGATCAAGTTCTCGACACAAAGTATATTTATTTGCACCATAGGACTATGGCCAGTAGAGTAAAGCAACAAGAGAGATGGAGAAAGGGTTTTAGGACAGGGAGGACAAAATCTGCCTCTGCATAGAGGGGACAGAGATGTGGCCCCTAGGAAAATTGCAGTTTATAAAGGAAAAAAGGGGAACCCCATGTTAGGATGAAGAGCTTAATTGCATTTGGACATGTTATTTAGAGGAGTTACAAGGGAATCTTTGCTAATTGGATTTCAATACTTTGGTAGCTAGACCTTGATAGTTAGCCTCAGTAGGAGAAGTGCCCAAATAAGGGAATAGACCCTGGTGGCACTCTTTAGGAATGTAGCCCCAGTTAGGGTTTCTATTGCTATAAAGAGAACAATAGCCACAGTAGTTCCTATGAAAGAAAACATTTAAATGAGTGACTTATATTCCAGAGGTTCAGTCCATTATCATAGTGGTGGGCCATGTTGCTATTCAGGCAGACATGGTGCTGGAGAAGAAGTTGAGCATTTTCCATCTAACCGGTAACATAAAGAAAGTAGTCTCATTGTGTGTGGCTTAAGCATTTAAGGGGCATGGAAGTCTGCATCTACAATGAACACACTTCCTCCAATAAGACTACACCTTCTCCAACAAAACTATACCCTCTGATGGGACCAATTTCATTCAAACTATCACAGGAATCTAATGGATTTTAGCAAGGTAAAGGGGATGGGGGAGAAGGGCAGGACTTGTTGTAGCCATATTTGCCATAATCAGCCTCACTAGAGTCCCTTCAGGATCAGTAACTTGTGTGTGTGTGTGTGTATGTGTTTGTGTGTATTTATGTATATGTGTGTCTACATGTAAAAATAACAACAGAGCTCATATATGACAGTGGTTGTGTTTATATGAGGAAAATAGGAGGATGAGAATTAGAAAAGAATATTACATAAATATAATTTTTATGTTTTAAAATGCAAAGATTAAATAAATCAAATAAAAATGTCCTCAGTTCTATCCCATTCTGGCATTAGGAATGCTTTATCCCTGAGTCTTGTTCATAAGATGCAGTAACCCTACCCTGAAGGTAGAAACCTCTGTACATACTTATCATCTAAATGAGCTACCTCTTGATTCCATCATCTTTGGGAATAGACAACCACTTTCCTCCTTGACTAATTTCTATCTATGTGAGTGTCAGATTATTTTAGTGTATTCAAGTGTGAGTTAGATATTGATACAATACCATGAGCACGATAAATTAAAGAAAATTCAAGCAAGAGTGATAGCACAGATGATTTGTTGTGAGGAATAGTACCCCATCCATAAATTGTAATCTCCACCAAGGAAAGTTTATGAAATGAGGCTATACTTGCTTCGATTCATTGGATAACTGATGATGTGCTTCTAGATTTCAAGTCTTTTTATCTAGAACAATACATATATGGACCCGTGTATTTGTTTAGTGGAATGAAATATGGTCTCAGTTGTGAGGAAAAATGCACTGCTTTTTCAGAAGAACTGTATTCAGTTCCAAGAACGCATCTTGGGTGTCTCAAACTGGATATAATTCTAACTACAGGGGCCTTGGTTGCTTTTCATGTTCACCTGAAATTGTGTACACATAACCACATATATAACCATAATTAAAGAAATGATAAAAATATTTTGGGTTAATTGTTGCTGTATTTATTGTTGTAATACCCTTTACTTTTATATGATTTTGAATTTAAACAAATTTCATTACAGTTTGTATAATTTAATTGGAGTATGTTGTATTGTGAGTGCATAGAGATCAGAACATGACCTCTACGGGTTGGAAACCTCTTCCTACTATATGGGTCCTAGGGATGAATTCCTCAGCAGATTTAGTAGCAAGGGATTTGATTTCTGAATCATCTTAATGGCCATAAATGTCCTTTAATGTCTTTCATTATAAAGGATGATAGGCAATATGAGAGAAAGCCTATGTGTCTGCCATTTTTCTGTAACCAACTCTAAACAAATAATCATTTAACTAACATGGGCTGTGTAGGTGACAACACCATTTGAATAACTGTGGCTAGTTGCTTTCATACAAAATCATTTTAATCTCCTACTTTTTGACATTATTAACTGTGTGCTATAGATAAACAAATTGACTATAAGACTCAATACTTTTACATTATGTGGTAACAATTATCCACAATTCCCTAGATTTCAAATCACACTGAACCTTTGAAAATAGGGCTCTCTGGATTTGCTTGAAATCTTCTTTATCAGACTTGACAGTTTCTTATAATATTATAAGAGACTATTTCCTCTCATCATTAATCTTACAGAGGACTTAGATTAGGTTACTAATACCTACAAAAGTGTTCAATGGATCTGATAAACTAGTCTTTTCTTCATTGATTTACTGCATGTACATGCTACCTATAAATTTATGTAAAGACTCATACAGACATGAAAATAGAAAAAATATTAAAATTTCATGACTGGAATCTAATCTACATGTATTTCCAAAGAAGATTTTTCACTAGTTAAGACATTGTGCAGAATTCCCTCATTTTATAGATTGATTATTAAATGTTTCTTTGAGAAAAGCTCACTTGCAATGGATTTTCAAAGAGTGAAAGATGTGTGACATGACATAACATTTACTTTAAGTGACATTGTTAATATTAATATTCCTATAAAAACTAACTTGGGAAAGTGATATGGTTTATTTGTACAGTGCTCGTTTAGAACCTTTGATCATCCCAGTGTGTTTGGGAGGAGATGATCTATGTGAAGGATTTATCTCAGCAGCAAACACTCACTTGTCTCATTAGAAACTTCATTTTCTGGGCAGGGGATGCAATCAAAACAGCAGGCTGCAATTCCCTCCTGCAGGAATTTTCTGAATCCAGGACCACAATCAGCACTGCACACAGAGGGTGGCATCTGAGGAAAATCAGACATATGTTGCTATCAGGACCTTAACCTACTCGTTCCATAAGTATATGACATTAGCATGTTGAAATATTGATAAGCTTATTTTTCATACACCAAATGAATGACCACATTAAACTTAGTATGTTTAAAAATGCTCAACAAGCAAATGTATGAAAACAATCTGATGTAAAGTTGAGTGGCTTCCCAATCTTAGGAATTTAGGAATAAAAATGGGTTGTTTGCTGTGGGCAAACACCACATAGTACAAACTGATTTTTCTAGTTAATTTTCATCACCTTGGCAGAAAGACTATTGAAAAGTTAAAGAAAACCCTAACTAAAATATTACTCTCCAAGAACTAGCCTGCTGTCATATTATTTATGCATTTTATTGATCGGTAATTGTTGTAGGAGTGTCCAGTTCACTGTGGGCTGTGCTGTCTCTATTCAGGGCTATTTGAGAGATCAAGCAGAGCAAACCAATGAGCAGCGTTCCTTCAGAGTTTTGTTGCAGTCTCTAGATTTCTACATTGTCTTCTTTTTATTTTAACCCATGATTCTAATCAACCCTTCCTCCTCAGTTTGCTTATGGCCAGTGTTTAATCACAGGAAGAGTGCAGCAAACTAAGATAAATGAATATCAGAAACATGGGAAATATCTCTTCAAACCTCTGACAGCAAACATGAGCTCCAATAAATAGCACTGCAAAATATGACAAACAGAATGTAAAGAGAATAACAGCTAAGTAGGCAGAGCCTGGTGCATTTATGGTGAAAAAGTGCTGGGTTGGTATGTATGGAGGTTGTAGTTAGAATGTTTCCTAAGGTCAAAGTGCCTTACAAAGGCTGCAAGTATTTGGGGAACTGGAATAAAAGTTAGATAGTTTAAATTAATTAAAGGATTTTGTTCAGTTTATAATACAAAAACTTTGTATAATCAAAACCTGATGATAGTGGTCTATATACTGGTTTAGACAACTGCTAATTGTTGCATAATCACTTTGCATCCTTAGTTCAGAATTGAGTTCTGAAACAAAATCACATGGCTTCTATCTTTCTATACAATATGATTACATAGAAATATTCCTTTTTGTTGTAGTTTTCTTGAAACAGGGACTCACTCACAATGTATTGCTGGTATACCTTAACTACATACGTAGAGTAGGTTAACATAGATGGTACAGAGTTCTGCCTCTCCTGCCTCCAGAATGCTGGGTTTAAAGTTGTATGGTACCAGTGGGCATATTTCTTCCTTTATGTCTGTATTTAATGTTTACCATTTCTTCTTTTACTTGCTAAGATTAAGGACAATTTTCAAGAAGATTGGAGAAAATGTATATCCCTCTCCAATTTCTTTTTTAACAAATTATTTATTTACCATCCAAAATTGCCTCTCCCTCCATTCATTCTGTTCCCTCTCCACATCTTCTTTCTGCTACCCTATCTACTCCTCAGAAAGGGTAAGGCCTCCCATGGGAGTCAACAATGCATGGTAAATCAAGTTGAGGCAAGACAATGTTCTTCCCCCCTGCATTAAGGCTGATCGATTAATCCCACCATAGGGTACATGTTACAAATCCATCTCAAGTACCAGGGAGAGATCTTGGTCCCACTGCAAGGGCTACAGACAGACTCAGCTACATAATTATCACCCACATGCAATGCTCTTAGGTCGGTATCATGAAGGTCCTCTAGCTGTAGGTTTAGTGTTCCTAAGCTCCTACTACTCGGGTCAGCTTTCTCTACATGTTGCCCTGTCATTATCTTGACCCCACTTGCTGAAATAATCCCTCTACCTCTATTCAAGTGGACTGCCACAGCTTGGCCCTTTGCTTGGCAATGAGTCTCTGCATCTGCTTCTATAGTTATTGGATGAAGATTCTATGAAAGAATTAAAGTAGTCAAAAATCTGATTGCAGGAGAAGGCCAGTTCAGGCACCCTTTCTAGGAGGAGTCTTAGCTGAGGTCATTCTTTGGAAATCATGGGACTTTCTTTTGGACCAGGTATCCCAGTCATGCCATAATGCCCCACTCTTTCAAGATGTCTCGTTTGTTGCTCTCCCCTCCAACCTTCCCCTAAAGGGGACTATCCCAGCTCCTCATGTCTCTATCCCCATTCTCTTTCCTCTTCCTCTTACCCCTAGTTTACCCAGGAGATATCATCAATTTCCCCTTCTTAGGGTGATCCATGTGTCCCTCTTAAGGTCTTCCTTGTTACCTAGCTTCTCTGGGGCTGTGGAGTATAGCCTGGTATTTATTTGCTTTCCATCTAATATCTACTTATGAATGAGGACTTATCATGTTTATTTATCAGAGTCTGAGTTACATTACTCAGGTTGATTCCCCTCATCCAAACAATGGATAAAGAAAATGTGGTATATTTACATAATTGAGTATTAGTCAGCAGGAAAAACAAAAACCAAAAAAACATTGACATCATGATATTTTCAGGCAAATGGATGGAACTGAAAATATCACCCATGTCCAATTTCTGCTCATTTCTTTTGAGGGAGGGTCTATATGCAATCTTAGCTCTTTTGGACTCACTGTGTATGCTATTCTGGCCATAACTGAGAGGGTTTTACTTCAGCCTCTCTCCAATAATTTTGATTAAAATGTGCACCACCATATATGACTGGCCTTGCTGAGAATTTTCATGGAAACTCTTTAAGTTTCTCTTCAATGTTGTCAATATAATTGCCATAGGAAAAAAATTAAAGTGATCAGGCTGGAATAATACAAAAGAAAACCTTTTTAATCAGAATGTCTTCCTTCTATTTTTGCAGGTTCTTCTTTGCTTTAAATATTAAATCTGAATTGATGCTGGCCTTTGGTAAGAGCCCTATCTGCACATATTTGGATAATCATATAGTTCTATGCTTGAGTCTATTTTTGTGTAGCATATACTTAGCAGATAGATCTGCATATGATGAACCAGCCTGTATCCCTGCAATGAAGTCATGTATGTCATAGGGACTGATCTTTCTGGTGTGCTGTTTAGTTGCATTATTCAGTGTTTAGTTGAGAATATTTTCCATTCATGTCTATCCCGGTGTTTAGTCTGACAATTTCTATATTATATTAAATTTCCTCAAAATTATTTCCCTCTGTATTTACAGAAGGGATCTCTCCATGTTTGTAAGTACAGTTTGTTTTTGGAAGCAAAAATGAATGTTGGTATTTACAAAGCAACCTTGTCTCTTGTGTGTTATGATTAGAGAATGTGAAGTTTAACATTGAATTGTTATTGAGAATTGTTTTCCAACTATGGTGATATTTTATTTGTACTGAAATGTGATTTTAATGTTATGTTAATAAATAAAGTTGCCCTGGGGTCAGAGCTATTAGAGCCATAGCAAGAGCATGGTGGTTAGAAGAGCTAGGTAGATTTCTGTGTGTTCAGGGATACAGCCAGTATTGGAGACATACGCCTTTAAGACCTGGAGGGCGGTACTTACAGGCAGTGATGAGGCAGTCATGTGGTTGGGTTTACAACCAATGAGAAGGCAGAACAGAAAGACTATTTAAACACAGACAAACAGGAAGTAGCTCTCTCCCGGGGAAGCTAGGAGCACTGTAGGAGGTGAGATTTTATCTCTGAGCTCTGACCTCTCGTCTTTCTCTTTTACATTGGCTCTGTGTTTCTTATTTAAATAAGATGATTGGTTACATCAACATCCAACTTTTATACATTTGGTTAATGCAATACTTGATACAGTTTGATAACAGTTGTTTTTCTGTCCAGTGTTCTCATGCTGTCTTTGTCTTCTAGGACAACTTGTATTTATCCTGATTTTCAGTGTGTAGTAGTTCTTCATGTATCTTCCATAGAAATGTTAGAGTGGTTATGAATTCTTATAAATGACATACATCCCTGTACATGGTATGTCTCTGTATTAGATAGGGTTCTTTAGAGTAGCATAAATTATAAAATGAATCTGATTCTGTCTCTCTGTAATCTGTTAAGATATCTTTTAGGAAGTGGTCTTACTAATCTAACAATTGCTAGGTATAAATAGTAAGTCCAGGAAAGTAGAAACTTCTCATTCCTTGATATTGAATGTCTCAGTTGATCCTTATTAAACACTTAGTTCCCATAGATATAGCTTCAAATGCCAGTGAAGAAATAGAATCACTAACAAGGTTAGAGCAAGCACACTAATAACACAAGTTTCAATTTTCTGTATCCTTATATAGGCATCCAGCAGAGGGGATAGCCCAGATTAGAGGTCAATTTTCAAGATCAAATGTTTTAATTTAAAGTTGTGTCTTCCCAACTTAAGATCCAGGTAAAATATGTGTCTTTTCCCAGCTTAAAAGTTGTCAATTAAAGGCATGGCTTCCTTTTCTTTCTTTCCTTCTTTTTTTTTGTTGTTGTTTTATTCCACAGACATGGTTGCTCTTTGTAGCCCTGGCTGTCCTAGAACTTGATTTGAGAAATAGCTTGGCCTCAAACTCAAAAACTCACCTTCCTCTGCCTGCAGAGTGCTGGGATTAAGGCATGTACCACCATCACTTGATATAAGGCATGTCTTCCTATCTTAAAGATCTGGATAACAAGTATAATTTCCTACTTAAAATTAAGAAAAAAAAACCTCTCAAGAATGCCTTCCATTTTTGAGTTTCAATAAATTCCAGATGTAGGCAAGTTTATACCCATGAAGAGCCTCCATTGATTATAAAGGATAACTTTGTTGAGCACAGTAGCTGGGTTTGGCAGCTGTTTCTCTAACTACTTAAATCACATCATTGATGTTCTCCCCCTTTAATCGAGTTCATGGCAGAATCTGCTGTTATCTTAAGGGACCTTTCGAAGAAATGTGTTTCTCTCTCTGTAGCCTTCAGTTTCCTTTCTTTAATTTCATATTTCAAATTTTATGTAAAATATGTCATGGGAAGATTTTCTTTTTCTGATATGTCTTTAGAATTTAAATACCTCCTGTCTCTAGATGTCCACACCTCTCCCTATATTTGGTAAATTCCCATTGTATTTTACTGGATATACTGTTGATGTCTTGGAAAGTCCTTTTCTTCTCTTCTGCTCATTGTTTGTAAATTTGATCTTTCATTTTTTTTAATTTTTTAAATTTATTCATTAAATTTAGTTTTACATATCAGCCACAGAT